GTAATGCATAGTTTAATGCCTTAGCTTAACACGTTTTCCTTTTCATCCATCCTTTTCTGTATTTTTTTTCCAATACTTGTATTACACATGCAGAAGTGAGCTGTGCCTTGCTATGATTTGCTAAATGACATGTTTATCTCAAGAACAGTTTCTGTACAGTATTTTTTTTAAAAAATACTGTCAATTCTTAGAATGCATTTCAGTAATAGTCATCCTCTGAGGTTTTTTTCTGCTGTTCATACTGGTCCTATGAGGAATGTCTTAGGACACTGGATTTTTGTAGTTTGGAGAATAAGAAGCTGACGTGTGACCTCATTGCTTTCTGCAGCTTCCTGATGATGGGAAGTGGAGAGGAAGGTGCTGATCTTTTATCTTTCGAACATAGTGACAAGATGCATGGGAATGGTTCAAAGCTGCACCAGGGGAGGTTCAGACTTGACAGGAGGAAACTTTTCTTCTTCTGAGAGATGGTATACATTGGAACACGTTTCCTAGAGATGTGGTAGGTGCCTTGAGCCTCTCAGTCTTTAAGAGGCGTTTGGACTATGTATGGTACATACTATAGTATGGTTTAAATTCTGGTCAGTCCTGGAGTGGTCAGGCAGCTGGTCAGGAAAGATGATTGTTGTAGTTCCTATCCCAATGGAACCACTCCACTCTACAGCTTTTATCTTTCTTACTTATGAGCTTGGAAACAGCCAAGACACTGGTGTGTTATCAATATGGTTTCAACCACAAATGCAAAGCACAGAACCATGTGTGCATCTATGAAGAAAAGGAGCTCCATCCCAGTCTGACCAAGCACAAATGGTCAAGACACATAGTTTGCTTTTGAAAGAGACTGAAGGACTCCTCTGACACCCTTGTTTAGAAATTGGTTGGAATTTCAATGTCCACAGAAAGAGTCAAATACAATTCACAATGGAGTTTTATGAAATGTGTGTAATAAATATTTCTGTGAAAACTGGGAAGATACCTTACACTCTTACAGAGAAGTTAAAACTACTCTGCACACCAATACCTTGGATTATTTGTGTCACTTGGTTTCAGGAAGGTCACTTCTCTCTTGAGTTCAGAAGAACCTACCCTTTAAATCCCAGGGTAGGATTCAGTGCGCAAAGTGAGACAATTTGATTTTAGAATAGGGCTCCATTGCACAAAGCTTGTTATCAATTCTAAACAGTTTTTGTGACACAATTTCTGACATACATGCCAGTCTCCCATACCATTTCAGATGGACTCTCTTCAAGCTGGCCCTGCAAAGACACTGTGCAGACTGCACTCATCCTGGTGGCTCCCACATATTCCTAGTGCAATTTTCACTGAGTGTATGATTACGGGTATGGAAATTCTGACCCACCAGAACCTGCACTCCGGTACATTCACTGAGGTCGTTGGACTTGGCCACTGCTCCTCTTTCTCACATGCCCAAGAGTTACCGTAAACCTGAGTCCTTCATCCACTTCAAAAAAGAATATAAAATAATAATTAAAGACAAGAAGTACATCAAGAAAGTGTTCTTTATTTCTACTTAACACCTCAACTACATGAAACACATAGCAAAATTATTTGCGTTGGATTTGTAAAATACCAAAATCTGACAGAAAAGCAAGACATGATGCTTGGTCTAATGTCTCTGCACTGCCATTTCCTGTCTGCTTATACAATCATAGAATCATTTAGGTTGGATCATCCAGTCCAAGCATAGATTATCGAAGCCAAGTCTAATGCTATTCTTAGCTAACTAGATAATACCTCAGGCTGCAACTATATTGAATCAGAAGTTCGATTGTTTGTTACTACTTGCAAAAGCCTTTCCAATCAAATTAACTTTCCTTAACTTTTCCTTTTTACTTTGATTCTGACTGGAAGATTAACTTTGATAACAGTGATCATTTATTCCGAGCAAGACTTTTCCATGTCTTGAAAACAGTGGGATTTCAAATGCTTAGTGAGACAGGTGATTCCTGGCCACTTTGTCATCACTACCTACCAGGACCTGGGGGTGAGCACAAGCATTCTGCAGCATTCTGGCATCTGGCTGTGTGCCTGGTGCCTGCTGGGCTGATTATGATATTACCAGCACATTGGGGTCTAATGTCTTAGAGAAGTAGGCCTCAAGACAGATGTGAAGAAAGACATTCTCATTTTGTCATAGCCTGTTCTGAAAACCATACAAGAGAGAGTTTGTGTGGGCATTGTTAGATGACAGTGTTCTCGAGCATGTATCCAAATATGCTGCTGTTTTAGTTGGATTCCCTCTCACAGTCCACAACTTGGTTCACTCTATATGGCCCGGATCCTGGTTCTGTGCCCAGTGGTGATACAATATGACATTTTCCTGACAGGATAAGTCCAGAAATGGCAAGACAGGCAGGAGACGTTGACCGCAAATTAAATGACATGGAAAGCTCAGCTACATTGATTGTCATGTGTCAGTCCTGTCCGTGCTACTTAGAAAAGGGAAAGATGGGAAGAGATTCATACTTTAAACATCCCCCCAAACTTTGTTCAGACTGTACCAAAAGCAGGAGGATAGGACCAGATTTCACACCCATTCCAGATGAAAAGTTTTGCTGCCAATCCGCAAGCAACACTTAGGACAAGTCAAGCACATTTCTCCAAGTGGCACCTGCTTCTTCCAATGGACACAAAAAGATCTGTGATGAGTGGGGAACATGTAGAAAGAGACGTGGGACTTGTTCTTGAGAAGTGTGGTTTAGGCTCTTCAGAGAGTCTTCCCACCCTAGAACAATGATCCACTTTTGCACAGATGCATCATGAATGTTTCCTGGGATTTTAAGTGATGGGCACAGGAAACCTTTTCATGCTCATGTTGACACCTGATGAAAGCTTTTGTATGTATATCCCATAAATCTTTACACTTCTTGCCTTGGGGATCCATTCCTTTCTTTGTGTGCTTAGATGGACTGAAGGTCCTCTCTACCTAGTGATCTGAACTGGACATCTTCTCCTTATTGACTGGGAGGATTACCAAGCAATGGTGGAGGCTGTTCAACTTTGATTTGGTGGCACAAAACAGGGGTCTGAGAAGAGTGCGGTGTGATCTCAGGCTCCATGTTTCAGTCAGACATTAATCATGCATTCTCAATACATCCATTCACTCATCACCATCATCTTCAAAGTCCCGTGCTATTCTCAGAGGCTCATCATCAGTCTCTGCAGCAGAAGGACCTGTTGAGAAGAAGGGAAAAAACTTCTCTTCCTGGCTGCTGTCACCTCCCAAGCTGAAAGTGTACAGAGCTGTTTTCTTATGGACATAGTAGAAGGATATCTTCCTGGTTGAGATGTCCAGAAAGATCCCAATCTTCTGCAGCTTTCCACTCACACTCACACGAGTCCAAGGATCTGTGTAGGCCCAATAGTCTCGCCCAGCTGCAAGTCCTATGGCCCAGAAGCCATTCTTAGGGGATGGAGTCAATGTCCCTTTGCGAGTCACAGATTCCCGGACAATACCTAAGACCCAGCTTCTTCTCTTGCCAACATCTACTTCCCAGTAGTGTCTCCCACATGTGTATCCTTTCTTTGCCAGCACAAACGTGTGAGAATCAAATCTCTTCTCCTTGCTAGGAACATTTCTAATGGTGCCAGTATCTTTCACACTTTTCCCATCATCAGAGATTTCCAATCTGGGGTGGGCTGTGTCAGCGTCCAGGGTGACATCCACTGCAATAATCAATCACTTAAGTAGTAAAAATCATAAAGGCTGCTGCTGTGAAGTATTCTGTTATGTTACCCCCTCACATACATTGGTTCCCCCATCATCCCTGCTTCCCTAGTCTGATGCATCCTAGGCAGCCTCTTTGCCCAGGGTACCTCTAGCTTCTGCTGTCCCAGATCTCCCATGTCCCTTGTCTCTCATTCATGGCATGCTGAGAGAGTGGTCAGCATGCACCAAATGCAAAGCAACTCAAAGACACTCCCTTGAAGGTGCCATGTAGCATCAGGGAAGAACGTAGGGAGATCATAAGCCTCTGCTTCCATGATAGCAATTCTGTAGAGGTGCTCACAGGAAAAAAAAAATATTCCTTAGCACATACCTGCTCTTTGGGCAAAGCCAGAATCACAGAATGCATGTGTGTGCATACTCAGCAGTAGAAATGCTCAAATAACACCATGAAATGAAGCTCTACTTGATAACAACTACGTTTTGTTCAGAGAATATGAATACTGCTTTAAATCCCATAAAATCTAACACTGACTTGTGAAGTTCATTGGGCAGGAAATGACTAAGAGAAAGATAAAAAAAAATAATTATTGCTTTTAGGAAGTCATGGGAACTGTTCCCTGTGAAGGAAGAATGGTTTTTTCCAGAGCTGCATTCAGGCCCCAAGAGATGGGATTCAGCATTGGGTTATTTTCTTACCTTTGTGTCGTTGTTTCTGCAGAAATTCTGTCAGAAAACAAATAACGGAGACATTGAGTTGATTTAACAAGAAGAACATGGGTCCAGCAAGCTCACACACAGTCTATAATGCTGACAAACGAGCATGGTCTTTTGCAGTAGCATATCATTTCTACAGGTCAGAAAGCACATCACAAGCTCAATTCATCCTCCAAAGAGTAAGAGCCAGTGGGCCAGAAATATTATAAACACACCGTGACACCATGACCAAAGACCATACATCTGCAAAGGTATCTCGCAGCTGTCATGCAAAACTGCTTCCTAATCTCAACCCCATATGTCTGAGTCCAGGATTTATCCCATGAGACCCTTTCTGCAAATTCCTTCTCCTGTACAAAGTTATTCCTTAGCATTACATAATTTTTCCCAATGGAACTGAGTGAGGCAAGAACACTTTGCTGAGCTGAGCTGGTTTTCAAAGGATATCTCAGCAGCTTTGTACTTCCTATTTAGGTAGGAAAGGAGGTTTCACTTTTTCTTTTCTCTCACCACTTAGTTAGTAATGACAAAGAGAATAGCAATCAAAGACAGAGGCATAAATATTTCTACAAGAAGCCCTTAAAAAGTTCTTCCACTCTCTCTTGAAATGAGAGCCATGGAAAACAAATGCCTCCTTACAAACAGCTACCGCATAGCAATCCTTCTTGATGCTGGTATCTTCCATCAGAAAAAAAGGCAATTGCTAAGTGCACCCAGATGGACTTTGAAGACAAAAGTTGATTTCTGTCTGTACTGAAATTCATTCCTCCACAAAAATGGCATTTCCTTCCTTCCTTCCTTCCTTCCTTCCTTCCTTCCTGCCTTCCTGCCTTCCTGCCTTCCTGCCTTTCTCCCCCCTTCCCTCCCTTCTTCCCTTCCTCCCTCCCTTCCTTCCTTCCTCCCTGCCTTCCTTCCTGCCTGCCTTCCTGCCTTCCTGCCTTCCTCCCTTCAAACAATGAGTTGTTTCTAGGGAAATACCAGGAACACAGGCATGGGCCACTTAGCTCAAGAAGGACATGGAACTGCTTGAAAGAGT